GAAGCATTCATAGTAAAATTAGGGAGAAGGCACCATCAGCAGTATTATTGAACCTTTGTTGTTTTTTTCCCCCTAAGTCCATTAGAAAACCATCACTCCATAGGAAACAACTAGAAAACAACTGCTTTATTTTTTCCCAGTAACTTCTGTCAAGCTTCTCTGGGCCAGTTGATTTCCTGCCTGTGGATAAATGTTTCAGTCACAGAAAATAATCCTCTAGTTTCTTTTAGTCACAAAACCAGACTCATTTCAGTAATTAGAATGTCTGTTTCACTTTACTAATTGATGCCATAAACTTTCTTTTTAAAAGTTTAACCTCCAGGATGCTGGGTGGCTCAGTGGTTGGGCGCCTGCCTTTGGCTCAGGGTGTGATCCCAGAATTCCGGGATCAGTCCCACATCAGGCCCCCTGCAAGGAGCCTGCTTCTCCCTCTGCCTGTGTCTCTGCCTCTCTCTTTCTGTGTCTTTCATGAATAAATAAATAAAATCTTAAAAAAAAAAATTTAACCTCCTGGTTCCTTGAGCTAGATGCTTCCAGTGAGAAAGCTTGATGATTGCTTCTCTTTTTCTTTATCCTTTCTTTCTTTTTTTTTTTTTTTAAGATTTTATTTATTCACGAGAGATACAGAGAGAGAGGAAGAGACATAGGCAGCTGGAGAAGTAGGCTCCCTCCCTGCTGGGAGGATTTTATCCCCAGATCCAGGATCACAACCTGAGCCTAAGGCAGACCTGAGCCTAAGGCAGATGCTCAACCACTGAGCCACCCAGGCATCCCTCTTTTTCCTTCTCCTAAACTTCTCTGTTCAGCTAGACAATTCCTTGAAGTGGGGAGCAGTGAAAAGAGAGGGAAAAAAAAATCTTAATTGTAGGGACCCTAGTTCTCTATAGCCTTGGGGCATGTTTGCAACTCTTTCTCAGGAGAGTGCAGTGGCTCTAGTCCATCTGGCTGCTTACAGTTCCTACATTCATTCAGGCTTTGGGCATCTGTCCTCCATGGAGCTCATCTGTAGAGCTGGAAATCCTTTTGGTAGGCCTAGAATGAACCCAGACCCAGGCCGGGTCCTCCTGTGGGGCCCATATCTAGTTCCAAGAGGAAATGAGGTCCCAGTCTTTTGTGCCCTCTAAACTCGAACACAAGGAAAAATTTCCCAAAAACTCCTGTCACATTCCACTTGAAAGTCTTGTGGCACTGAGGTCCCTCTTTTCTGTCCCTGTGAGGAGGAATACAGAGCACACTGGTGCTTTCCAAAAACAGATTTTTATCGCAAAGACAGCCTCCTCCTATGCACTCTCCAATCTCTGAAACACCTTTAGATGTCGAATTGAACTGAGGGCACAAAATCAATTTGCAGCCAGTTTCTTTTGCACGATACAGAAGATGGCCAGGGTTCTTGGGGCACCTGGGTGGCTCATTTGGTTAAGCATCTGCCAAATCATCTGTCATGATTCCAAAGTCCTGGGATGAGCCCCACATCAGGCTTCCTGCTCAGCGGGAATCTGCTTCTCTCTCTCTGTCTGCCCCTCCTCTCCACTTGTACTCTTTTTCAAGTAAATCTTAAAACAAAACAAAACAAAACAAAAACAATGGCCAGGGTTCTCACTATGGAATGCAGAGTTTTGTGGCTCCTATTGACTTTCTCTTCTTCAGGACTTCTAAATCAAGAATGGGAGAGGCAAAGTTTAACATCCTGTTATAGACTGAAAACTATTACAAATAAAGTAGAATTCAAAAAGGTACACAGCCAATATCCAGAATTTTGTATATTTAAAACAAAATAGAAGATACACTGGGAAAAGTATAATAAGATTTATAAGTAAATAATATATAATACATTTACATATAATAAGTATATACTTATAATTATGTTTATTAATTTTTATAATTATATAATTACGTATTATTATTTATAAATATAATTAATAATAGGCACAAAACTATTATAAGATACATAGGAATAATATGAAAAAGAAATGAGCATGTTACACTTGAGGAAAACTTTTCAGTATTATGCTGAAGGACACAAACATTGACTTGAATAAATAGAAAGATATATGTTCCGGGAGAGCATCTCAACATCATAAAGGTGTCAGAACTCCTTAAGTTAACATATTCATTTTATGCAGCCTCAAGAAACATACTAATATATTTTTAAACAATTTATGCTCATATGGGAAATCAGAATATCAGGAAACTTGAAAAAGATGAGTAGTGTGGGGTTATTATTATTTTTAATCTAGACAGTCTGGCTTCAGAGCCAGAACTTTTTTTTAAGACTTTGTTTTATAGCAAAATCAAGGGGAAGGTACAGAGATTTCCCACATACACCCATAGCCTCTCTGTTCATTATCAATATCCCCCACCAGGTACATTTGGTACACTTTCTTTATAAAAGCTTTTTAATTTTTTCTCTATTTTTATTTTATTTTATTTTTTAAAAGATTTTATTTATTTATTCATGAGAGACACAAAGAGAGAGAGGGGCAGAGACATAGGCAGAGGGAGAAGCAGGCTCCTTGCGGGGAGCCCGATATGGGACCCCGATCCCGGAACTCCAGGATCACACCCTGAGCCAAGGCAGACACTCAATTGCTGAGCCACCCAGGTATCCCTTTTTTCTATTTTTAAAAAAGATCTTATTTATTTGAGAGAGAAGGAGCATGAGTGGTGGGGGGAAGGGCAGAGAGATGGGGAAGCAGACTCCCCTCCCCACTGAGCAGGGAGGACCCCAGGATCATGACCTGACCTGAAGGCAGACACTTAACCAACTGAGCCACCCAGGTGCCCCCATTTGGTACACCAATGAACCTATATTGACACTTCATGATCATCCAAAGTTCATAGTTTAGATTGTAGTTCATTCTTGTTCATTCTATAGGTTAAGACAAGTGTATAATGACACGTATCCATCATTATAGTATATCATACAGAGTAGTTTTAGTGCCTCCAAAATCCTCTGTGTTCTGCTTATTCATCTCCCCCCCCCCTTTCCCAAGCCCCTGGTAGCCACTGATCTTATTACTGTCTTCAGAGTTTTACTTTTCCAGAGTATTATATAGTTTGAGTCATATAGTATATATTGGCTTTTTTTTACAGTAATATGTATCTAAGCTTCTTTTATATTTTTTATGGCTCCATAGCTCACTTTTTATCCTGAATGTCATTCTGTTTTCTGGATGTACCTCAGTTTATTTAACCACAAACCTACTAAAAGTTCCAAGTCTGGGAATTAGGAATAAAGTTGCTGTGCAAGTCTTGGTGTGGACATAATTTTTCAGCTCCTTTGGGTAAATGCTAAGAAGTGTGATTCCTGAATCATATAAGAGTATGTTTATTTTATTATTTTTTAAAGATTTTATTTATTTACTCGTGAGAGAAACAGAGAGGCAGAGACACAAGCAGAGGGAGAAGCAGGCTCCCTGAGGGGAGCCCCATGTGGGACTCGATCCCAGGACCCTGAGATCACAAACTGAGTCAAAGACAGATGCTCAACCACTGAGCCCCACCCAGGTACCCCAAGAGTATGTTTAATTTTTTTTTAAGATTTTATTTATTTATTTATTCATGAGAGAGAGAGAAAGAGAGAGAAAGAGAGAGAGAAGAGAGAGAGAGGCAGAGAGAGAAAGCAGGCTCCATGCAAGGAGCCCGATGTGGGACTCTATTCCAGGATTCCAGGATCATGCCCTGAGCCGAAGGCAGATGCTCAATGGCTGAGCCACCCAAGCATCCCAAGAGTATGTTTTATTTTGTTAGAAACTGTCAAACTGTCTTCCAAAGTGGCTGTATCATTTTGCATTTCCACCAGCAATGAATGAGAGATCCTGTTGCTCTTTGCCAGCCTTTGGTGTTGTCAGTGTTCTGAATTTGGGCATTCTAATAGGTATGTAATGGAAGCAGTGAGTGTGATGCTGGCCAGAGAATAAAGATGAAACACTGAACCAAAATAGAACCACAGTAAATCCAAACATGTACCATCTGTGATAATGGTATAGCATTTAAATCAATGCTGTAGTCCTCTGCTGTAAGACTCACTGCCCCCCTCATTTCAACGTATCTGAAGTCAGGTAATATCTAATACACTTTTTATCTTTCTTAGTGGCATATAAAATAATAGTGCATTTTAAGTAAGATACATTATTCACATGTGACCTTGGTACACTTGGGTAGTCGGCCTCCTGTGAGAGAAATTAAGTAGGATTCCTAAGTCATAAATTATACTGAAATAAAGTTATAATTTATAATCTTATACTGTCATCTTTATTAAATATTATACCAAAATAAAATAATAATTGATTAAAGTCTTAAGTATGACAAAGCATTAAACAGAGAAATTTATATAAATATACATAAGAAAAATCTTCTTACCCAAAAGCTATAAAAGTTGACACTTTGTTTTGCATGGCAAAAACCTATAAGCAAAATTAATTTTGTTTTAAAACAGACCTATAGCATAAGAATGAGGAGTGCCTCTGTGTATGCCGCAGTGGCAGTTCTGGGGGGATGGGAGTTGACTGACTGGCTTGGGCTTGGGAAGTGAAAAGACTTCATTAGGAAAGTTTTTGTCCTGATCAGAGCATAGAGCATACTCCGTTCCTGGCCAAAGAGTACCATTTGGGTGAATCTGCGTGAGGACTTGAATGAGGGCTGCAGAGGAGGGATCTGCTCAGGTAGGTCATAGCAGCTCTGCCTTGGGTTCAGAACAACATCACTGAAGTGAGACAAGGTCTGGCCTGAATTCTTTGGCTGAGGCAAGAACCTGGGTTAATCCGAAAAAGGAGAGGGAATCTGAGTCTATTCCTTTGAATCCCCTAGCCAGAATCCATTTTACTACAGCTAGCCTGGGGCTTTTGGGGTTGAAGAGGTAGGATTTATCCCATACTCCCACTGACCACAGTTACATCAAAGACCCAGAGTGGTCAAATGAATACTGTAAAGCCAGTGTGGTTTCTAGAGCATTTCTTGCTTACCCAGTCCTGCTTTCTCAAAATACTCTCCTTTCTCAGGAAAACAGCCCCAAGGAGGACTGATCATTTCCTGCAATACTGAAAGCCATGGCCCAGGTGAGTTGATGCTTTTTCTTACCTTCCTGACAGTTTCAGATTTTAAAAAGAATTATTTTTTTAAAATTATCATACAAGTATTTGTTTTCCTACTCCTGACATTTCTAGCTATCAGGTTTCCCCTTCAGAATCCTAGGTTTCCTTTTCCCCTCAGTCTAACCAGATAATCTTTTAAATAATAATCAATTTGTAAATACAAATTGGTATTTACCAGTGAGATAGGATAGGAAGTGATGGTGGTAGCTCCAAATGTTAAACTATTGTAAGATCTCCCAGTTTATGCGGCTTGGAAGATTGTGGGGTTAGTAGCTGATCCTGATATATCTCTGTGACTATTACAGCATCAAGGAGCCAATGATCAATTTGAAGTTGGACAGGAAGTGTGGGTCATGAGGAACTTCTATATGAATCGCCAGTTTTCTTTATCTCAGAAATAAAAATACTCCCTAAAGGGAGATACCTGCATCTTTTTTAGCTGATTCCAATAGAGTATATCCATATTTTAATTAATATTCCTATATTGCTATTTCTTGATTAAATTTTTAGACATTTTGCAAGGTTTTTTTTTAAAAGGTATGTGTAGATTTACATGTGCCATATCACACTCTGTTTCCTTTTCCCACAACAGTTATATCACAATTTTGTTTAAATCAATGCTATACATATAATTAGAGCCTTACAGATATTCTATTCTCTACCAACAACCTTTGAAAAACTTGATAATAATAAATTTCAGACATTGGAAATTTAGAGGAGTTACGAAATACCATATACTCACCATTCAGCTTCAACTCCAAGTCAGTTTTGTTTCATTTGTACTGATACCTTGCACGCTACCGTACCCTCTCTTCTACACACAGGATTATTTTGAAACAAATACAAATTGGTATGTATTTCTGAAAGATAAGGATTATTTGTGAAAACAACCATTATGCCATTATTGCATCTAGAAAAGTTAGAAATAATTTGTTAGTATCATCAATATCCAGCAAGTTTTCAAATTTTCATAATTGTTGAATTTTTTAATCACTTATTTGGGTTATAATCCAAATAAGGACTGTGCACTGCAGTTGATTGATGTCTTTTGAGTCTCTTACTTTGTAGGTACCCCTTCTGTTTTCAAAAAGGAATGGCTCATTTGTCCACTATTTGAATTTTGCTGATTGCATCTCTGTGGCATCGTTTGAGTGTTTCCTAAAAATTGGTAGTTAAATCTAGATGATTGATCAGATTCAGTTGGGATTTTTTTTTTGTCATGAATATGTTATAGATGGTGATATGTGATTCCATCAGGAGGCTCATTTTATCAGTTCTCTTTTTGTAATGTTATATACTGTTGATGATTACTGTCTAAGTTAGAGGTTGCAGAATGATATTTTAATTCTTTCATTCTTCATAGATTAGGTGAAATACTCTTTATAAAGCAAACTTCTCATCAACCGCTTGGTTACCCTGAAGGATAGTCTGTCTAGGAAAGAATATTTGAACAATGATTTTGGTTTCTTAGATTCCTAAAAAGGTGACCGGTAGTTTTTTATTCACTATTATGAGTTCATGATTTAAACATTTTTTTATGTATCAGTACATTATACTTGATCCTCAAATGATACCATTTTTGGCCATTGAGAGACTCCTCAAGTTGGTGTCTAAGTCTTTGTAACATGATTCTAATAATTTTTGGTAGCTCGCGCTTTTTTTTTTTTATTCGCTTTCTGATATAAGAGAATATTCAGATTCATCCTCTGCATTTCTGACTCAATCCTGAAGTCATCTTTTATTTGAATATGATGCTTAAGGACTACAATCTCGATACTAGAGGTGCTTATTCCTACTAGATTAATTATTATTTGTAGGCCTTTTCAAATAGAGTCAGGAACTTGTTTGTTTTTAATATAAAATAAACTGATTAGGGACGCCTGAATGGCTCGGAGGTTGAACGCCTGCCCTTGGCTCAGAGCATGATCCTGGATTCCCGGGTTTCAAGTCCTACATCGGGCTCCCTGCATGGAACCTGCTTCTTCCTCTGCCTATGCATCTGTCTCTGTGTCTCTCATGATAAATAAATAAAATATTTTTTTAAAAAATAAATAAATAAAGTAAAATAAAATAAACTGATTAACCCCCCTTTTTTAGTTAACATACAATGTTATGTTTGTTTCAGGTGTACAATATAGTGATTTAATATTTCCATATATTAGTGCTCATCAAAATAAGTGTACTCCTAATCCCCTTCATTTATTTCACCTATCCCCCTGCCCACCTCTACTCTACTTTGCTTTTTCTCTATAGTTAAGAGTTGTTGTTGTTTTTTTTCCCCTTTGGTGGTTTGTTTTATTTCTTAAATTTGACGTATGAGTGAAATTATATGGCATTTTTCTTTCTCTGACTGGCTTTTTTACTTAGCATTATATTCTCTAGATCCATCCATGTTATTGCAATGGCAAGATTTCATTCTTTTTATGGCTAAATAATATTCCATTGTATATTAGTGTCACATCTTTATCCATTCATCTATCAGTGGACACTTAGGTTGCTTCCATAATTTGGCTATTATAAATAATGCTGCTATAAACATAGGGGTGCGTGTCTCCCTTTGAATTGGTGTTTTTTATTTTTTTAAGATTTTATTTATTTATTCATGAGAGACACACAGAGAGAGGCAGAGACACAGGCAGAGGGAGAAGCAGACTCCATGCAGGGAGCCTGACACGGGACTCGATCCTGGGTCTCCAGGATCACAACCTGGGCCAAAGGCAGGCACCAAACCGCTGAGCCACCCAGGCATCCCGAATTAGTGTTTTTGTATTCTCTGAGTAAATACCAGAATGCAATTACTGGATTGTAGGATAGTTCTATTTTTAATTTTTTGAGGAACTTCCATACTGTCAAAGTGGCTGCACCAGTTTGCATTCCCACCAACAGTAGAAGAGGATTCCTTGTTCTCCACATCCTCGCCAACACCTGTTGTTTCTTGTGTTGTTGATTTTAGCTATTCTGATAGGTGTGAGGCAATATCTCATTGTGATTTTGATTTGTATTTCCCTGATAATGAGTTATGTTGAGCATCTTTTCATGTGTCTGTTGGCCATCTGTCTTCCTTAGAGGAATATCTGCTCAGGGCCTTTGCCCATTTTTAAATTGGATTATTTGTTTTTTGAGTATTGAGGTTTATTTGTTCTGTATGTATTTTGTATACTAACCCTTTATCAAATATGTTTGCAAATGTCTTTTCCTATTTAGTAGGTTGTCTTTTAGTTTTGTTGATTGTTTCCTTTGCTTTGGAGAAACTTTTTATTCTGATGTAATCCCAATAGTTTAATTTCGCTTTTATTGGGATGCCTGGGTGGCTCAGTGGTTGAGTGTCTGTCTGCCTTCGGCCCAGGGCATGATCCCAGAGTCCCAGGATCAAGTCTTGCATCGGGCTCCTTGCATGGAGTCTGCTTCTCCTCCCTCTGCCTATGTCTCTGTGTCTCTCTCTCTGTGTCTCCCATGAATGAATAAATAAAATATTTTTTTTTAATTGCTTTTATTTCTCTTATCTCAGGAGACATATCTAGAAAGATGTTACAGCTGATGTCAGAGAAATTACTCCCTGTGGTCTCTCCTAGGACTTTTATGGTTTCAGGTCTTACACTTAGGTTTTTAATTCATTTTGAGTTTGTTTTTATGTATGGTGTAAGAATGTGGTCCAGTTTCATTCTTTTGCATGTAACTGTTGAGTTTTCCCAACACCATTTGTTGAAGAGACTGTCTTTTTCCCAATGTATATTCTTTCCTCTTGTCAAAGATGAATTGATCATATAATTTTGGGTTCATTTCTGGGCTTTGTGTTCTGTTCCATTTGGTTTATGTGCTTATTTTTGTGCCAGTACCATACTGTTTTGATTACTACAGCTTTATTTTTATTTTATTTTATTTTATTTTTATTATTATTATTTTGATTACTACAGCTTTAAAACTTAACTTGAAGCCTGGAATTGTGGTACCTCCATTTTTTTTTTCCTTTTCAAGATTGCTTTGGCTATTCGGGTTTTTTGTGGTTCCATACAAGCATTAGGAGTGTTAGTTCTATTTCTGTGAAAAATACTGTTGATATTTTGATAGGGATTGCATTATTATTTTTATTTTATTGTATTTTTTAAAAGATTTTATTTATTTATTCATGAGAGACACAGGCAGAGGGAGAAGCAGGCTCCATGCAGGGAGCCTGATGTGGAACTTGATCCTGGCACCCCAGGATCACACCCTGAGCTGAAGGGAGATGCTCAACTGCTGAGCCACCCAGGCATCCCTGATAGGGATTGCATTAAATCTGTAGACTGCCTTTGGGTATTATTGACATTTTAATAGTACTTGTTCTTCTAGTCCATGAGCACAGAATGTCTCCTTTTGTTTATGTTGTCTTTAACTTCTTTCATCAGTATTTTATAGTTTTCAGAGCATGAATCTTTCACATTTTTGGTTAAGTTTATTCATAGAAAAAAAAGTTTATTTAAAGACTTTTTATTTATTTATTTTTTAAAAAAAAATTTATTTATTTATTCATGAGAGACACACACACACACAGAGAGAGAGAGAGAGAGAAGCAGGCTCCATGCAGGGAGCCCAACGTGGGACTCGATCCCAGGTCTCCAGGATCAGGCCATGAGCTGAAGGCAGTGCTAAACCGCTGAGCCACCTGGGCTGTCCAAAGTTTTATTTTTTAAGTACTCTCTACACCAAACATGAGCCTTGAACTTAAAACCCCAAGATCAAGAGTCAACATGCTTTACCAACTGAGCTAGCCATGTATCCTCTAGATATCTTATTATAAAATAAACTAATTACTCTTGCATCTGTTTTTAAGATCCAAAGATACTAGTTCTAAGTGATAACAATACAGTCACTCATTTACTTTAACCCATGGTACAAGTGCAGTAATGTCTGAATTACTTTTATTACACAAATAATATATATGTTTATTGTTTCAGGGATCAGTGATGTTCAGTGATGTGTCTATAGACTTCTCACAGGAGGAGTGGGAGTGCCTGGACCCTGGTCAGAGAGACTTGTACAGAGATGTGATGTTGGAGAACTATAGCAATCTGCTGTCAATGGGTAAGGGCTTCTATACCAGTAGTTTAGAGTTCTCCTCTGGAATGTTCCTTCCACAGTGAATTTCCCAGCTGCTTTTCGAGTTACCGGCTGAATTTCTGCTCCCTATCCCCAAATAAGTGGTTTGAGCTGCAATGAAAAGGAAGAGTTGGAAATGGGCAACTCCAGTGACTATGGCAGAAGCTTCATCCTCTTTCTTTGGCTGTTCCTGTAGTGGCATCTCCTCTTTGGTCATCAAGGGACTGGATTTGATTTCCAGATCTGGTTTACCCACAGCATAACCATGTCCCATATCTTTTCTTGTGAGCAGGACTTTACATTCCTAAGCCTCAAGTTATCTCCTTACTGGAACAAGGAAAAGAGCCCTGGATGGTTGGCAGAGAGCTGACAAGAGGCCTGTGTTCAGGTGAGTGAGAAATGATTGGGCAGGAGCAAGGCACTACAGGTAAACTCAACACCTTGAGATATTATCTAGGCTTGTGAGGATAACCAAGTCCTCTTGGCATGAGTTTACAAATGAGCTGTTTCATTCCTTCTCTCACTTACTACTCCTTCTGCTTTTCTTCTCCAACACACCTCATAATTTCAAGTAGGAAGTGCCCTTCACTTCCCCTCCAATAAAACGCTTTTAACCATATTTTAGATTTAGTTCCTTACTAACTTTTCTTCCTCTTAGACTTGTCTAAATGTTTTTTTGGTTACCACCCCCAAAATAATGTGAGTTTGTGTGCACCATGTCTTCATGGATATTACTTGCCAGTGACTCATCAGTTTGTTGCACATTTTTCCTTTACCCAGTGTTTTTCATTTATTGATTTGTGCAAGGGAGTCTGCCAGGTGCTATAGTTTGCTAATTATGTCAGCTATTAAGAACTTGGGCATCAAAAAATAGTGCTAGAATATATCCATAAAGAATTTCCACAAAGTAGACTCTAGTAAAGAGAATCAGGGAGCATAGCAGAAAGTCAGAGGCTAAATATGCAGAAGTGGAAAATCCATACTGAAATAATAGTTCGGAGTTTTGCAGGTGATTGTAGTTCTCTTCCATGATGACAGTGTTGGGAAAACCAAAAAGGCCTGTAATAGGAAGGAAGAGGTGTCAAGAAGGAGAGATTTAGGATAAAGTGTTACCTTATCCAAAATGCTCCAGAAGAGCAAACTGTATAGTAAATATTGGTCCCACTGCTGGGATTATATCATTGAACAAAACATTCAGAATTTTGCTCTTCTGGAGCCTGTGTTCTAGAGGGTGAGAGAGAAAAAATAGGTACATTTTGAGGGCAGCTGGGTGGCTCAGTTGGTTAAGGGTCTGCCTGCAGCTGAGGTCATGATCCCAGGGTCCTGAGATGGAACCCCGCATCAGGCTCCCTGCTCAGTGGAGAGCCTGTTTCTCCCTCTCCTTCTGCCTCTCTCCTTGCTTGTGCTCTCTCCTCTCTCAAATAAAATCCTTTAGAAAAATAGATATGTTATAATGTCAGGTGGTGGTATGTGATATGGAGGGAAGTTAGAGAAGTCCTCTTTGATGAGGTGATATTAAACCAAGACCTACAGGAAGTGAGGGAACAAATAATGTAAAAGTCTGGTAGAAGAATCAGTTGGAATTCCTCGCTAGTCAGCTTGTTTTCACTTTCTATTATCTTTCCATGACAGTATTTTACACTGTGTCTTATTTTCTTTCTGTCTGCCTTAAACTTTAGCTGCCTCCTCTCTCAGCCCCTGCAGTAGTACATGAGCAAGTCTCTCTCTTCTCCCAAGATCAGCACCACAAAATTCCAAAGCAAATGGTATTTTTACTGAACCACCAAAACATAACATACTCTGAGTCTTCCCTATCTGCTAGTCACATCAGTTTAGTTCAGTACTGGGGATCCCTGGGTGGCTCAGCGGTTTAACGCCTGCCTTCAGCCCAGGGTGTGATCCTGGAGACCTGGGATTGAGTCCCACATCAGGTTTCCTGCATGGAGCCTGCTTTTCCCTCTGCCTGTGTCTCTGCCTTTCTCTTTCCCTCTCTTTCTCTCTCTCTCTCTCTCTCTCTCATAAATAAATAAAATCTTTTTTAAAAATTTAGTTAAATACCTTATATTTATTTCAGGCTCTGCCCCCCTTTTGGCTAGCCTTCTGTAATCTCTTTCAAATTTCGGCCAATAGATCCTTATTTTGGATTCTGTTCATTTTCCACTGCATCTGGGAGTGCTGCAGTTCTGACACTAACTGTCCAGAGTTAACCTAGACCCCACAGGTTAACAGAGTTTACACAAGGCTGCCCTCACTTTATTTTATTTCACTCTTTTAATGATCTTATTTATTTATTTGCATGAGAGAGCATGCATGCATGAGCATGAATGGAAGAAGGGGCATAGGGAAAAGAAGAGGGAGAAGCAGACTCCTCACTGAGCAGGTTGCCCAGTGTGGGCCTGGTATTCCAGGACCCTGGGATCATGACCTGAACTGAAGGCAGACACTTTTTTCTTTTTTAAGATTTTATCTATTTATTCATGACAGACAGAAAGAGGCAAGACACAGGGAGAGGGAGAAGCAGGCTGCATGCAGGAAGCCCGATGTGGGACTCAATCCCACAGGACTTGATCCTGGGATTCCAGGATCACACCCTGAGCCGAAGGCAGAAGGTCAACCACTGAGTCACCCAGGTGTCCCTGAAGCCAGACGCTTAACTGACTGAGCCATCCAGGTGCCCCAAGACTGCCCTCACTGTAAATGCCAGCTTCAAGTCTCAGGGTTCTTAGACACCTGCATGTCTGAGCTACTGGCCATAAATTTGGGGATTTTCACAGCTCCTGCAAGTTTAATTATTTGCTAGAGTGATTCACAGAACTCCAGAAAGTTGTATACTTAAAATTGCAATTTTACTTTGAAGGATATATTTTAAGGTAACATCTAGTAGGTTTACGGATGTAGAGGTTCCACGTCCTCTCCTTGAAAGTGTGTCACTTTCCTGGCACATCAGGTGTGTTCACCAACCAGAAAGCTCCATTGAGCTTTGGTGTCCAGAATTTTTATTGAGATTTAATCACATTGGCATGATTGAGTGAGTGTCATTGGCTGTTCAATCTCTGGCTTCTCTCTCTTCGCCAGAGGTCCAGTAGCCGAAAGTCCCAATCTCCTAACAACATGCTAGATCTTTCTGGTGAACCCCATCCTGTAGCTATCTAGGGATCTGCTATGAGTCACCTCATAGCAAAAAACACTCCTATCAGGAAATTCCAAGGGTTTTTGAAGCTCTGTGTTAGAAACAAGGGACAAAGACCAAATTTATTTTTTATTATACTACAGAGCCCAAGAATCTTCCCCTGTGTGCATTTATTCCTCTCAGGGAGTGGATTAATTTTCTGACCTCTATTAAAGGTCTTTAATACTTTTTGTAATACATATGGTATGATGGTCCACTTTGGTTTCTTACATGTACACACATGCATGCTTATATAGATGTATATACAACTTGTAATCTTTTCATATGCCCAAGTATTATATATTTACTGTCCTTTCCTTATGATTCTGATCCACATCAGTATTTGAGAATCACTGTGGTTTCCTTTTTCTATAGTCTCCTCTCTCTGCATTCTGCATTATATCTCATTAATTTCAGTGCATTTTTTGGGTCCACTTTCAGATTAAACAGATGTACTTGAGAACTATATGTCATTTACTACCAGATATTATTTTCACTTTAATTTTTCCATTTCTCATATAAAAGTTTAACTTTTCATAAATGGGTGGTGGGAGAGGAGGGGTGTAAGAATATTTACCATTTTGGGCATCCCCGGTGGCTCAGTGGTTTAGCACAGCTTTCAGTCCAGGGCATGATCCTGGAGACCCAGGATCGAGTCCCACATCAGGCTCCCTGCATGGAGCCTCCTTCTCCCTCTGCCTGTGTCTCTGCCTCTGTCTTACCCTCTCTGTGTCTCTCATGTATAAATAAATAAAATGTTTAAAAAATATATTTACCATTTTATTTTCTTTCAGATCTGGAATCAATGTGTGAAACCAAGTTACTATCTCTGAAGAAGGAAGTTTATGAAATAGAATCATGCCAGAGGGAGATAATGGGACTTACAAAGCATGGCCTTGAGTACTCCAGTTTTAGAGACATTTTGGAATATAGAAACCACTTTGAAAAACAACTGGGATATCAAAGTGGGCATTTCAACCAAGAAATATTCTCTCATGAATACATGCCCACATTTATTCAACAGACATTCTTTACTTTGCATCAGATAATTAACAATGAAGAGAAACCCTATGAATGTAAGAAATGTGGAAAGGTCTTTAGTCAGAATGCACAATTTATTCAACATCAGAGAATTCATATTGGTGAAAAATCTTATGAATGTAAGGAGTGTGGGAAATTCTTTAGTTGTGGCTCCCATGTTACTCGACATCTGAAAATTCACACTGGTGAAAAACCCTTTGAATGTAAGGAATGTGGCAAAGCCTTCAGTTGTAGCTCATACCTTTCTCAACATCAGAGAATTCATACTGGTAAGAAACCCTATGAATGTAAGGAATGTGGGAAAGCCTTTAGTTATTGCTCAAATCTTATTGACCATCAGAGAATTCACACTGGTGAAAAACCTTACGAATGTAAAGTATGTGGAAAAGCCTTTACTAAGAGCTCACAACTTTTTCAACATGTGAGAATTCATACAGGTGAGAAACCCTATGAATGTAAAGAATGTGGCAAAGCTTTTACTCAGAGCTCAAAGCTTGTTCAGCATCAGAGAATTCATACTGGTGAAAAACCCTATGAGTGCAAGGAATGTGGCAAAGCTTTTAGTAGTGGCTCAGCACTTACTAATCATCAAAGAATTCACACTGGGGAGAAGCCCTATGATTGTAAGGAATGTGGGAAAGCTTTTACTCAGAGCTCACAACTTCGTCAACATCAGAGAATCCATGCTGGTGAGAAACCCTTTGAATGTCTTGAATGTGGGAAGGCCTTTACCCAGAACTCACAACTTTTTCAACATCAGAGAATTCATACAGATGAAAAACCATATGAATGTAATGAATGTGGAAAGGCCTTTAATAAATGCTCAAACCTTACACGACATCTGAGAATTCATACTGGTGAGAAACCGTATAACTGTAAGGAATGTGGGAAGGCATTTAGTAGCGGCTCAGATCTCATTCGTCATCAGGGAATTCATACTGATGAATAATAAAAGTTAAAGCTTTTGTCACCTTTAAACAAAAAAAATAATTTGATAGTTACTCTTTCACTTTTTTTTTAAATTTTATTTTACATTTCTTTTTAATTCAAATGTATTTCACTCTAAGTTATGAATTAAGATTCTAAGTTGACATTTGCCCACCCCCTGTTCCCCAGTCTTGGGCAGTTGTTCAATAATTCTTTTCTTCTCCATTTGTTTGTTTTACCTTTTTGGTGAGACATTATTGTTTATATTTGCTTGTATTTTTCTTCTCTGATCTATATATTTGTGCTTACATCAATATTGTACTGTTTAACCTTGTATTTTTTTAATTGTAGAATTATAACCTTGTTTTTGAAGTCAGTAATAATTTTTTGTTTCATTTCACAAATTTGTGTTTTCAGAAAATCAGGAAACCAGAAACTAAAAAGCCAAGATTATCAGTAATCATAGCAACTATCAATGATTACTCTTAAGTTAGTAGAGCAAATCCTACCAGACTTTGTTTTCAAAGTCATAGTATGCATGTTATTCCTTTGCCTGTTTTGATCATGCCAAAATATATGGTTGCCATTTCAGTAAATACAGATTTTTTTTTTAATGACTTCTATATACTTAATGGCTTTTTAAAATGACTTTATTACTTGTGTTTTGTTTGCATCTAAGCATTTGCAGTTATTAAATCTGCCCTGATTACTATGACCCAAAATTTATGTTTGGATGTTTGTTTGTGTCTTTTAAAAGATCTATTTTAATTGCTGAAATTATGCACCTTTTCTCTCTGTAAACTGTTTTGTTCATTTTCATCCACCTCAGTCTCCTACTAGATAGGTAATTAACTGCTGTTATCCAAGTGTTGTTTATCTTTCCAGTTTTGTTTGTTTTGTTTTTACTTTTTACTTATATGTTAGTGGCATTTTTATTTCCTATGTATTATTAAAGATAATCATGCTGTATGTGTTGGTTTGTTGTGAGGATTCAATGAATTAATAAATGTAAAGTGCTTAGAACTATTCCTATTACATAGTAAATGTTTAGTAAAACTTGTCCACTATTATTATTGATACATTCATTTTCATAGTTATCTTCATTATTATTTGTGGAAAGGATTTTTTTTAAAAGTTTATTTAAGTAATCTCTATGCCCAGTGTGAGGCTTGAACTCATGACTGTGAGATCAAGAGTCACACAGTTTTCTGACTGAGCCAGCCAAGTGCCCCTGTTTGTGGAAGGGATTTTAACCATGTTGCTTATCTTTGTCTAAATCGAAGAATTCATAATGAAAAAAAGAGAAATGAATGTAATTAGTATAGGAAAGCTTTTCTCATCCCTCATTATTCAGCATGGAATTTTAAAAAGAAAAAAAAGAAGAATTTGCGGATAGTCTTCCTTCAGACATCATCTTCTATGCTTGCACAAAAATTAATGCCAGTCAGAAACCCTGTGGATATAATGATTAGTTGAAAGCACAGCTATCAAACAGGAAGAGGTAAGAATATTTTTCCTAATATTTAGTCGTCTCCCCCACCCCCAAGCAGAAAACCTATAGGCCACATTATCTGACCAGAATGGATAAAACAGTAATAATAGTATAGCCATCAAATATCTGAATTTTATTTTATTATTTTTAAAAGACTTATTCATGAGAGACACAGAGAATGGAGACATAGGCAGAGGGGGAAGCAGGCTCCCTGTGGGAAGCCTGATGTGAGACTGGATCCCAGGATCCTGGGACCACTCCCTGAGCCAAAGGCAGATGCTCAACCACTGAGCCAACCAAGCATCCCTAAATATATGAATTTTAACTAAGTGCTCCCTATTGGTTAACATGGGTTAGGGAACTAAGTCCTTTAGTGTGTGTGTGTGTGTGTGTGTGTGTAAATATATATATATATATATATATATATATATATATATATATATATATATTTTATGATTTTATTATTCATGAGAAACACAGAGGCAGAGACATAGGCAGAGGGAGAAGCAGGCTCCATGCAGGAAGCTCGATGTGGAACTCAATCCTAGGACTCCAGCATTGCTCCCTGAGTCAAAGGCAATCACTCAACTGCTGAGCCACCCAGGCGCCCTGACTACATATTTAATTTTAAAAGGCCTTTATTTTTTCAGGTAATGACAGTGTTCTGAGATTTGTGGTGTAGGTTCCACAACTTTGCGAATATACTAAAAGCCACTGAACAATGTACTTTAAAAGAATGAAGGGCAGCCCAGGTGGCTTTGCAGTTTAGCGCTGCCTTCAGCCCAGGGCCTGATCCTGGAGACCCCGGATCGAGTCCCATGGCAGGCTCCCTGCATGGAGCCTGCTTCTCCCTCTGCCTGTGTCTCTGCCTCTCTCTCTCTCTGTGTGTGTCTCTCATTAATAATAAAATCTTTTAAAAAAATGAATGAATATATAATAGTATATGGATTTTATCTTAATTTAAAAATGTAAAAGTACTATAGATATTTTTATACCATATCTGAAAATCTCGACAAAGCATGTGATTTTTATAAAGAAACTGAATTGACATCAGAATTGACTTAATAGATTCCCCTCCAAAACGAACATTTTAAAATTAGACCAAAATTATTTTAAATGTCACACAGCTATACTAAGGAAGATACCAAACTATATATATATATATATATATATATATATATATATATATATATATAATCGATGAAATCTATGAAATGTTTTAGGAACTCTTTGAGGACACAGACTGAGAAAGCAAGTTATCTATTTCTATAAATTTATAATCCTAATGTCAAAACTTGCTAAAGAAACACAAAAGGATAATATGCCCAGAATTGGTTATGAAAATATGCAATGTTATAAATGCACAAATCAAATCTAGTAATCTATTGAGGGACGCCTGGATGGCTTAGTGGCTTAGCATCTGCCTTCCACTCAGGGCATGATCCCGGTCAGGAGATTGAGTCCTGCATCAGGCTCCTGCAGGGGGCCTGCTTCTCTCTCTGCTTCTCTCTCTGCTTTCTGTGTGTCTCTCATAAATAAATAAAATCTTTTTTAAAAAATCTAGTAATCTGGGGATCCCTGGGTGGCTAAGCGTTTGGTGCCTGCCTTTGGCCCGTCGCGTGGTCCTAGAGTCCTGGGATTGAGTCCCGCGTTGAGCTCCCTGCATGGAGCCTGCTTCTCCCTCTGCCTGTGTGTCTGCTTCTCTCTCTCTGTCTCTCATGAATAAATAAATAAAATATTTTTTTAAAAGCTAGTAATCTATTGAAAAAATAAATATGTCACAATTTGAATTTAGGAAAAAAATGTTTCTGACAAGCTCTTATCCAAACTTGCTGTTTGCTTTCTGAAACTTGAAAATCAGATTAATTTAGTTAATATAGTATCCCTTAGTATTGGAAAGTCAGGACCCAAATGGATTGGGACAGCAAGGAATTCTTGGAGTACAACATGAGGTAATTGACATGGAATTTCTAGAGTTAAAATAACTAAAGCACTATAAGGGAAAATATACTATCAAGCACCATACCTTCTAGATGTACCTGCTACAAAACCACTGCATTCATCCATTTATACCCTGTCTACTCGCTTGACAAATCTTCAAATTACACCCAATGAATACAATTACTGCCATGCATATTAGTATGAGGATGTAGTGGGAAGTGAGAAGGAGCTTATTAAACACAGGATTTCAATTTTCATTGCAATTAGAGTGTAGAAGAATATGAAAAGCCTTCACTTCCATGACAGCAAGAACAATCTTGACAAGATAAAAATCATGCTTTTATATGGGGCCGAGAGTGGTGGAGATAAGCATTGAACTGAATTTCTGATATAAATAAGCCCTCTTTTAGGTGAACAGATTGCTGTGTGACTCTCCATGGCTAAATTCAGTGCATTTTATGGGGACAGAGATGAAGGAGGACAGATGAAGAGACTGTGGAGGTAAAGAGAAATGAGAGCTACGATGATACCTAGGCCTTTCTGGATGGATTAAAATCTGGAAAAGCCCTGAATGCAAAAGATTTATTTATTTATTTTTAAAGATTTTATTTATTTATTCATGAGAGACAGAGGAAGAAGCAGACTCCCTGTGGGGAGACACTCAATCTCTGAGCCACCGAGGTGTCCCAATGCAACAGATTTAAACAATACTATCAACGAACTTTACCTAATTGATATTTATTTAATGATAATCTCTATACACTCTCTACCACAGAACATGCTTGCTTTTCAATTATATAGGAAACACTATGATAGACCACATGTTGGGTCGTAAACAAGATTCAACAACTATCAACAGACTAACCATACAGATTATGTTCTTTAATATAGAACTAAATGCAGCTCAATGATTAAAGATTAGCTAGAAAGTCCTGTTTTCTTCCAGATGCTTGATAGTCTTAGCTTTTAATTTTTAGGTATATGCTTCACCTAGAATTAGTATTTGTGTATGGGATAAAGTACAGATTAAAGTTCACTTCTTTTTTCCTCACATAGACATGCAGTTGTTCCAGAACTTTAAGGGTGCCTGGGTGGCTCAAACAGTTGAGCCAAAGGGCTCAGATAAGGATCCCAGGATCCTGGGATTGAGTCCTGCGTGGAGCTCCCTGCTCGGTGGGAAGTCAGTGTCTCCCCGCTCCCTTTACCCACCTGCCTTGTTCATGTGCTCTCTCTCAATAAACTCTTTTTAAAGATTTAATTAATTTATTTGATAGAGAGCACAAGCAGGGGGAGTGGCAGGCAGAGGAAGAGGGAGAAGCAGACTCCTCACTGAGCAGGGAGCCCTATGTGGAACTTGATTACAGGGCCCTAGGATCATGACCTTTGCTGAAGGCAGATGCTTAATAAATAATAAAATGTTAAAAAAAAAAAAGATTTTCATCTCCGCTGAGGTGCTTTGGCACTTTTATTGAAAATCAATTGACCAGGGATCCCTGGGTGGCGCAGTGGTTTGGCGCCGGCCTTTGGCCCAGGGCGCGATCCTGGAGACCCGGGATCGAGTCCCACATCGGGCTCCCGGTGCATGGAGCCTGTTTCTCCCTCTGCCTGTGTCTCTGCCTCTCTCTCTCTCTCTCTCTCTGTGACTATCATAAATAATAAATAAAAAAATAAAATAAAAAAAAGAAAATCAATTGACCATAAATAAAGCAACACTTTTTATGAGCAATGAAATGAAACAAAAATACAATTTATAATAATATCAAAGAATATAAAATACTTAGGAATAGTGTAATAAAAGGTATGAAAGACCTTTATATGGAAAACTACAAATGTTGCCAAAAGAACTGTGACAAGATCTAAATAAATGGGGATGCCATGTTTGTGGCACTCAGTTACCCTCAATGCTAATATTTTGCATAACTATAGTACAATATTAAAAAAAGATTTTACCAGTTTTTTTTTAGATTTTACCAGTTTTATAAGCACTTATTTCTGTATGTAACAGTTCTATATAATTTTATCATTTGTGCAAGTTTCATGTAGCCACCACCACCACAATATACAAAACCGTTTAATCACCACAAGGCTACCTTATGCTACCACCTTATAGCCATGCCCACCCCTCCCCACATCCTTAACCCCTAGAAATTATTAATATTTTTATCAGTTCAATAATTTTTTTAAATTTCAAGAATACTATATAAATGGAGTCATAGAACATTTAACCTATTTTGAGTGGCCTTTTCTCTTTTTTCTCAGCTTAATTGCCTTAAAATCCATCCAAGTTGTTACAAGTACCAATGGTTTTGTTCCTTTTTATTGTTGAGTAGTATTACCTGATGTGAATATACCACAATTTCTTTGTTTTTGTTTTTTATTTTTAAGAGAGATTTTATTTATTTATTTGAGAGAGAGAGAGCACAAGCTGGGGAGAAGCAGGCTCCCCACTGAGCAGGGAGCCTGATGCAGTGCTTGATTTCAGGACCCCAGGATCACAACCCGAGTAGAAGTCAGCTGCTTAACTGACTCAGCCACCCAGGCACCCCCGTTTTTTTAGTGTGCCACAATTTTTTA